CCCCAAAACCCCAAAACCCCAAAACCCCTATTAATCCTAACTTCCAAAATATAATTTTATTTCTAAATACCCAACATGAAGGTAACCCTGGCCTTTTGGTTTACATATAGAGTACCCAAATTGATGGATCAGACCTAAAACCATCCATGTAAGGCTCTTAAAGTAACCCCTTTTAGATCTGTGATCCTTGATAGCTCTCTTAATAAGATCAAGCAAGCTATTGAGGTTGGAGGATTACCTAATAATTATTCCTTCATTGCTAAAAAGGAACCTCTTGGTAGGCCACTTTTAGATAGCATTACTGACTTGGTTTAGATGAAGACTCTCCTGAGCGAGAAAAAGATGTAACTTCCATAATCAGAAGTAATTTTATCAAAAAAATGAGAAAAGTCCTTCATAACGAAATCCAGCAGATGAGAGTGAGAGATATGCTTACGAAATAAAGAATTTGAGTACTAGGCTTGATTATATTTATAGGAAATGCATGGCTAATCTAGAAACCAGATACAGCAAATTGAAAGAAATGGGAGACAAAACTAATGAAGAAGTTGAAGAGTTTCTTCGACAAGCTATAACAGTAATATTATCACATAATTCTTATTAGTCTGTTACTCTAAATTCAATAAAAGAAATTAAAACATTATCTTACAAAGAGAGAGTTAGGGATTATGAAAGCAACCAAGAGGAGAAGCTTAAAAGAGCTGAAGAGTTGGTCAATAAGTACAAACTTCAAAGGGAAAGGTAACCTCCTTAGACATAATATCTACAGATTAACTCGGAACTCTACTAAGAAAGAACACAAAAGTGAGCAACTTATCAAGATAAAACTTGAGCAAACAAAGCAAAGGTTGCAACAACAGAAGTCTAAGAAAAGGGAAGAGATCATCATCAGAATGGAAAAGGCAAAGGATGTTAACAAAATTATCAAGTATGAACATTACTGCAAACTTGGCTCATCCCATTATTTAGGAAAAATCACAGAAAGAATATAAATGAAAGCAAATAAATATCTTGACCACCCATATACTTATGAAAAGATGGAGAAAGAATATGAAAAATAATGTGATATTTCCTCAACTGAAGCAGAGTCATGAGTTTCTCAAAGCGTATGTTTCCCTATTTATAATTATCATTCATTCTCAACTTTCAAATATAGCAAATAAAATGATAAGTGATTCTTATTCATCAAGAACCAAAAGCTAAGGCTCAAATAGAAAGGAAAGAATGATGACCAAGTTTCTTAAATAATGCTATAAAAGAGCAAAAGATCAAAAATAGTGCGTCTCCTAAGAGAGACATACAAATAAGGAAGGAAAAGCTTGACCAATACACTAAGCTTGTTAAGGATCTTCATCCTCCAAAAGTGAGTAAGCTAAAAGCAAAAGAAATGAAAGCATTAAAAGATGCAATAATAAATACAAGAGCTCGTAACAAAAGTAGTATTAGTTTCTCAAAGGGTAATTTACTTAATAATTTATATTCAAGATGACAAAAATAAGCTAAATTCTCTGACAAATTACAACTCAGAGTACGCGAACAGATCGGCGAATGGATTTACTGTGCCAAGCCATAGAGTACAGAAGAGCCACATTACGTGGAACTTTGAGAATAATTTTTTGCCAAAGCCTAAAGAAAAATAAAGAGCCAAAAGTAACGGACTTCTTAAAAGAACAAAGAGAAAAGAAGTCAATTGAGAATTTCAACAGTAAGGAATCTCCTCATCTTCTATAGTAAAATTAGAGCCTAAGTTGAGAGGTTCTGAAAGGAACTTCCAGAGAGGGAAAAGAAACTCTCCTACTAATAACTCAATGGATATCAGAAGTAATTTCTAGAATAATAGTTAGAGCATAGCAATCTTATTGAAGAAGGAAGTCCTCAGTCATCCAAAGGTTAAAATTTTATTATCATTCTATAGAGTTTTATTCAAAGTTCAAGAACAGTCATGTTGAAGATCCAGAGATCAGGAACCAACAAATTGCTGTAGCAAGAGCCCATGCTAAAAGATCTGAGGAAGAAGTTAATAGAATTGAAATGCAGATGAAATATAGCAGAGGCACTAACGTCAAAGATGTTGTCAGCATGAATGAGATCCTACTCGGAGCAATAGAATCTAAACTTAATATTTTAGATAGAATGAATGATTTATAGTTCAACTTTTCTTGATGTAAAAGGGGTTTTGGGGTTTTGGGGTTTTGGGGTTTTGGGGTTTTGGGGTTTTGGGG